TATCGAACTGCCGTGGACCTGAGCGTTCTTGTTCCAGTGGTGCCAGCCGATGAGGAACAAGTTGTAAACGACGCCTTGTATCAGGGGCATCATCACCTACATCAGATCAGTACTGAATCACCCCGCCGCCCGCTGCACCCGAGCAACCTACCTGATCCCTTGCGGTGATCCACGCCACCCGCCCCCAGGTATCGGCCTTGGAAATGCTGTTGAGGTAACTCTGCTCGAAACGCAGGTCGGGCATGGGTGGAAGCTTTGCTGTACGCGGCTTCGGGTTCACCACACTGCGTGGAATGTAGTCGTCGAGCTCATCATCGTCGAGATCGTCCTGGGTCGGGACGGGGTCTAATGTCACTGGCTCCTTCTCGGAGGCTGCTGTGGAGGGATTGAGGTCGTGGCTCGGGGAGGGTGCCCGGTTGATGTGGGCTGTCTGTATCGTCTCTGCGATTTGGATGGGTACGGAGGAAGCCATGTTGCGAGTCTGGCGCTGTTTAAGTATGACGAACAGGAGCTACAGCAGGTAGTGGCTTGAGCTGCGACTTCGGGAAGCTCTCGCGGGGACGGGTATGGGCGCGTTAGGAGGTTGCGATAAAGTTAGCTCGTTAGTTGCATGGTCATTGGTCATTCATTAATCCAGCACACGGGATGATCCTATGCACCCTTACTTGCATGGCGGATCCACCGCTGAGGTCATCAGCCGTTCCGCCCAAAGAAAGCGATATCCGGACGGCACACAGAAATTCAGTGGCCCAACTTTTAGCGGCACAAGATCGAGTGGGGTTGAATGAGCAACTAATACAGCACATTGGCTTTGTCTCACAACCTGCCTTACATTGTGCCTTTTTAAACGGGCTGCAGCCTGCTTCCCTTATCCTGCAAGACATCGCCGAATAATATTACATAGATATCTGAGGGTGTCTATCTCAGTGACTCACTCGATAGTCATTGCGATAGTCAGAGTCCAGTGTAATGAGTGTTTGAAGTGCCTAAATTCCAAAGACATACGGCGTTGAAGATGAACCATGGGGCGGGCGGCTCCAGCAAAACATGGTGGTACGTGTGAAAGTCGGGAGATGAGTGGCTAGAATTTAGAGTGGCCAGGCTGTAGGCACCCTATGACTCGCTTGCGGTTTAGCGCCCTACCCGGTTTTGGGCGTACACCCAGCCAGAGCCGGATCCTGGTGCGCTCCACGGTGACAGCACAAAAAATCGACCTACCTACGTGGAGCACCAACTTTTCTTTCCTTGCAACTACCCGACCGCATCGCAACGCATCGTTCCCGCCCGGAGAACCGCGCGACGTCGACGACAAATCCCTCACCGTCACGCGAACGCGTTCCCTCATTTTGTCGTTCCTCGAGTCCCTTAATTACCCTCATTCAAGATGTCGGACCCCCAGGCGAACGAGGCCGAGAAGAACGTGAGTTTTTTCCCGTATTCCTACATCGTGGCCTCGGAGCCCCTCCTTTTTTGCCCCGCGCTCCGAGCATGCAGGCTGACGATTCCCTTTATGGGGTGCAACACAGATCGAGATATGGAAGGTCAAGAAGCTGATCAAGCGCCTCGAGGCCGCTCGTGGTAACGGCACTTCCATGATCTCGCTCATCATTCGTACGTTTTTATTTCCCGACCGCCATGCCGTCGCCGATGCCGGGTTCGACTAACACCCCACCACAGCTCCCAAGGATCAGATTTCCCGAGCCGCCAAGATGTTGGCTGAAGAATACGTACGTTACGACTGCGACAATCGCACACCATTCAAGCCGGACCGGTATTAATGAGACTTTATACAGGGAACTGCGTCAAACATCAAGTCCAGAGTCAACAGACAGTCCGTGCTTTCAGCCATTACCTCGACCCAGCAGCGTCTCAAGCTGTACAATAAGGTCCCTCCCAACGGCTTGGTTGTTTACTGTGGTGAAATCTTGACCCAGGAAGGCAAGGAGAGAAAGGTCAACATCGACTTTGAGCCTTTCAAGCCCATCAACACCTCCCTTTACCTCTGTGACAACAAGTTCCACACAGAGGCTTTGGCCGAGCTTCTCGAGTCGGATCAGAAGTTTGGTTTCATTATTATGGACGGTAACGGAGCCCTTTTCGGAACCCTTTCCGGAAACACCAGAGAAGTTGTTCACAAGTTCTCTGTCGATCTTCCCAAGAAGCACGGTCGTGGTGGTCAATCCGCTCTTCGTTTCGCCCGTCTTCGTGAGGAGAAGCGTCACAACTATGTCCGCAAGGTTGCCGAGTTGGCCGTCCAGAACTTCATTACCAATGACAAGCCCAACGTCGCTGGTCTGATTTTGGCTGGTTCTGCCGATTTCAAGACTGATCTCAACGCTTCCGACCTGTTCGATAACCGTCTGGCCACCAAGGTCATCAAGGTTGTTGACGTTTCCTATGGTGGTGAGAACGGTTTCAACCAGGCTATCGAGCTTTCTTCCGAGACCCTCGGCAACGTCAAGTTCATCCAGGAGAAGAAGCTCATCGGAAAGTACTTCGAGGAGATCAGCCAGGACACCGGTCGTGTCTGCTACGGTATTGAGGATACCCTCAAGGCTCTGGAGTTGGGCGCTGTGGAGGTTCTGATCGTCTTCGAGAACTTGGAGATCACCCGCTGGAAGCTCAAGGACAGCCAGGGCACCGAGCACCTGCTGCACACTACCAAGCAGCAGGAAACCGGTGACCGTGCCATTTTCATGGACAAGGAGACTGGCCAGGAGATGGAAGTCGTTACCCAAGAATCCTTCCTTGAGTGGATTGCAGAGCACTACAAGGACTTCGGTACCAACCTCGAGTTCGTCTCTGACCGTTCCACCGAGGGCAACCAGTTCGTCAAGGGCTTTGGTGGTATCGGTGGCATTCTCCGCTACAAGGTGAACTTCGAGCAGTTGGCTGAGGTTGATGACGACGATGACTACTACGACGGTTTGTGACTTTCCAGCACCCTATCTGCCAACTACAAGAAACTGACCATCCTAGATTGACCAACCGAGGCCCTCGAGAACGAGGGATCGACTCAAGTACCGTCTCTGAAGCATGACAGCGAAGAGGAATCCGCGCGCACAGCGTCGCAGCCCGCGCCCGCGCCCAAGCCGAACGTCGCCCATCAGCTCCTTGCAGACAGGAGCCCGATGAGCCCGGCTCACCTCACCCACCAAGTGGCGCGCCCGAGCCCGCTTCGGTCTGTTATGAAGGCCTCTTGAGTTGAGACCTAGTCTACATGTGAGACCATCCTTTCAGCCACTGCTGGAGCTGTGCAACTAACATGGGCACCAGATGATCCTCTCACAGACAGAGGACACTCAAGAGCGGTCGGGAGGCGACCGCTTGTTGATCGCGACTAGATAGAATGAAAATGAAATTAAATGCCTACTCAGCCCTTTCAGGCTCGCCCGAGCCTGTTCATTAAGCGTGAATGATGTTTCTGTGCCACAAGGACTACCGTGTTTGTGTGACTTGCCACCTCAGCTCTTACACCTAGATGGGTAACCCATGAGAGCAGCCCTTGTCCTCATGGAACAATGACTTTCCTGGTGTACATTCCCAGTTCCCCTCCCCCTTAAGGCACAGTCAACTTGGGGCCGCAGTTTCACACAGGCATCTTTATCCGATATGCGACTATGACCTATCAACTGGTTATATGCATATTCATGACCTCCAACTCAGTCTCATAACATCCCACTTACTGAGGCGTGTAAGTCGCCAATGCCAACTTCAACATGAGGCCTCTGCTCCTCAACACCCTTCGTCGGGGATTTGCAACTCAGAATGCATCCTCATCGGTAGAGGCAGGAATCGCCAAAATCCTGCACACCAGCAAGGAAATCCCAGACCACCTCTCCCCGACGCCCTCCCATCTCCTTAACCTCCTGTTCGCTGACATCTTCACCTCGTCCGCCGACTATCCACCAAAGTACCCACCATCCTCCGGGCCTGCGAGTCCGTTGCCGCAAGGCCACCACCTGGCCTATTTCCCCCTCCAATCGCCGCCCTCATGGCTGATGCCGGACGGCACTGACCCAGACCATTGCCCCGGGGCGCCCTTTACGCGCCGGCTCTGGGCGGGCGGCGAGGTCCGGTTCCGAGAGGGCTGGGAGGATGTGCTTCGTCTGGATGGGCGCCGGGTCGGCTGTGTCGAGAGCGTGGAGGATGTGAGGGCCGAGAAGGGCCGGGTGTGGGTCGAGTTGTGGCGGCGGTATGGGGCATCTTCTGCTGCTGGTCGTGGTGAGAGCGGACCGGCGGTCGAGGAGAGGAGGACGTTGGCTTTCCTTCCTGATGTTGATGTTTCTGCTCCAGCGCGGCGGAGTTTGAAAGGTGAGCGGCGGTCAGCAGCAAATTCAGTCTTCATTCCAAGCCGTGGAAGAGAGTTTGGAGAACGAGAAAAGTACTGACGTTTGAGACTGGGTTAGCGCCGCATAAGCCGACAGCGTCTCTCACTCTGACGCCGACGCAGAACCTCCTCACCAATTTCAGCGCGCTGACGTACAACGCGCACGCGATCCATCTGGACCCGGCGTGGGCTGCGCAAGAGGGCCATCCCGCGACGCTGGTCCACGGGCCTCTGTCGCTGGCTCTGGTGCTCGCGTTCTTGAACAGGCAGGGCAAAGGGCAGAGCGTGCGCTGGTACGGGTACCGGAACCTGGCGCCGCTGTACTGCGGTCGGGAGATGACGCTTTGCCTGCGAGAGAAGGAGGCGAGTGAAGGGGAGAGGAAGTGGGATGTTTGGATTGAGGGTGATGATGGAGGGATGGCGGTCAAGGGGACTGCTACGACCGTCGATGGCGTGTGATGTTGAGCATCGGCGTGGACTCATGCTGAAGCATTTCAGCTGATGGCGCGTGTAGATGATTACTTGTAAGAAAGTAACTAAGAGTGCATTGTTGAATGAAAATCACCCCTTGCTATCCTCCACGTGCCTAATTATATCACTAAGTCAGATACATTATACTACCACAAGCCTGGAATACTGTGGACAGAACTTCTGTGTGCCTCTACATCTATCACTCGAGCTCAACAGGGGTATCATTAACGTTGATAGTGCGTCTCGGCGACGGAGAAGACGCCAGAAGCGCCTCACTGAGAACGGATGGCGGGGCTGCGGACACTGACTGATACTTATGTCGCTCCTCAGCCCCGGGATAGAGAGGCAGGTGGTTCTCAGGGACAGATACCTCCGGCAGAGTTGAGAATTGAGCGCTCTGTGTCGGATCCTGCGACGGAGACAAGGCATCCTGGGCTCTCGACGCTCGCTTCTCCCGTATGAGAAGCCATGCAACCACACAGACCCCAATGACCACCGCTACTAAGCCTCCAACGGCACCGCCTACGATTGTAGGTATGTTGGACGAAGAACTCGCCGGCGATGGTGAAGCTGGCGCGGAGGCGGAGGCCGATGTGGAAGACATCAGAGTGATTGTGGAATCAGCCGAAGCCAGCGCTGTTTGGGTGCCGCGGAGGAAGTTGTCCTCGATCGATGCCGGGACGAAGTCTAAGCTCGTTCGACCGCTGTGTGCTTTCCACTGGCAATCGAGGAGCGATACCCAGTTATCCCTATCGATTTCTTTGTAATATGTCACGCAGGTTGGGAGCCATTGATCATCCGAACTCGTGCTAGAAAGATAGATATTAGCCATTGTCTCTTGACATAAGACATAATGTGAACGTACCAACAGCGGGTATTGAGATCAACCTTGGATCTACACTCGGTAGCTGTGCCATCGTAGCATGTACGTCCAACGATATTATCGCACTTCATATAGCCATTGTCTGTTTGGCACGGTTGCGGATATTCGCACGCTAGAGGGAATGTAGCTGTTTGATTTATGTCAGTATTCGACTTCTTATGCTGGCTGACTTGGCTCAAGCTAGAGGGGCGTTTGAAGACTTACTCCAAGGAAGTGTTACGATCCCGCATGTATTGATGCGCAGTAATCGAGGCTCCAATGCCTCTGCCCGTAGATTGAGGTTGATTCTAGGTGTCAAAGTTGTTGTTGGGGCTGCTCTATACTTGTCGTAGTTCGGTGCCAGTGTTGGACGTGGTATGGAATTTCCATTCAAGTGTTGAGGCTCCGCGAGTACCAGGCGTAGCCAAATAGCCGCAGCAATGGCTACGAGGAAGGAAGAGTTCATCACTACTCCGAGATAGATACAAGGCAGTCTGGCAAGGTTATGAGAAGAGTGGTGGAAGTGGTACACTCCGTTGACGGGAATGTGGTGGTCTTAAAAAAGTTGAAGTCACCAGGAAACAGAGAAACCAGCTTGGACCCCTATTCTCGTTCTGAGTCGTCTATTTGGAGGGCTGTGCAGAGATCTGGAAGCAAGTTTCCGTATTGTGTAACCTTCAAAGTGAGGCAGGTTCTCTAAGATTGTGTGAGACATGGTTCGCCCGTCAACACCAGCGGCCTATGTTTGAAGCATGTGTGTCGGCGAAGTAGTCCCAAATACGAGAAACTGCCAGCGCCAGCGTGGGCAGCCGGGAGCGAAGGACCCTGCCCACTTTTGCATATAATTGAGCTCAAGTGCATCTACTAGGTTTATGTCAAGCCGGTGAAGGGAATCGCAAAGGATGAGGGCTCATATGAATGGGGATTATGTTACTAGATCCATTCTTGGCAGATTTCGCCATGAGAATTCATAAGAGATAAAGACAAGTTAAGATAAGAAAATACCGGCATGCTCTGAAGCTCCCTCAGGATTGTATTTCGGCTTGATCCAGCAATCTCCCAATGTATTTGATTGTTAAGCATAATATATAATGAAAGAAATCAACCCACTGATCGACTCCTTACGCCACCGCTATATGTATAAGAATAATCCCATGCCCCCCAAAGCGTAGACACATGAACACCTAGTTCATTTTTGGGGGATTCAAGTTCCTAGCTCCACCGGTCTTCGGTTGTCGATCACGTTGCTTCCCTGCACCTCAACAAGAGGTGTGGGCGAGGGCATCGGCCCGCGTTGCGCCTTGGAAGGGTCATCATGCTCCTCATACCCAGCTTGAGAGTAATATGGCTGAGTGTGCTGCGATTGAGAGCCTGGCGTCAAGGGAATATGCCACCCGTCCTCCCTCAAGCGTTTCCTCCGCCGCAATACCAACCAGACGATGACGCAGACGGCTATGGCTACCACAGCCACCCCACCGACCACGCCTCCGACGATGGCACCTGTCGAGTTCGAGGATGATCCGGACGGAGGTGGCGTGGTTGTTGCAGTGTCCGAAGGGTCTACAGTCCTGGTCGCGTCTGGGTCGTCGGACTCGGTACCTATCACCATGATTTTTTGTCCACTGTAGGCAGGATTGCCGCATCGGAGCCATGTTTTTTGTCCTGAGTCGTCAGGCCTCAGGAGTGTCAGGCAATACGGTAACTGGCTCGGACCTGATCGAGTGCTTGGATATCAGTTAGCATTTGAACTTATCGAACCCCGGAGGCACGAATGAGACCAGTGGCTCCGGTATGTCTAGTTTCGGGACGTGTTCAATGAAAAAGATCACGAAAAGACATACCAGCAAAGCGCTTTCTGGCCTAGAGACGACGTTGTCTGCTGGCAAACAGGCGCGTTCCCATCAAAACATTCCGTCTTGAGGACGTTGCGACATCCGAACCATGGTCCCGAGCTGTAGCAATCGTTGCTGACGCAAGAGAATGTCTCGAAAGCTGACAGCAAGGAAGATATCGTCAGCCAGCTCCGTGAATCGCAGGAGCCATGGGTCAAGACTTACTTCCATTATCAAGGCGACGAACTCCACAGGCATTGGGGGGTAGACTTCTGGCTTCGAGCATCATTTGCCTCGACTCCTCGCTGGGAGCTGTCGTTGGTGCCGGGGAAAGTCCAGCGCCGTGCTCTGGGAAACCCATCGCGAGCGTTTCTTGGGGAAGTCGCCCTTCGAGGCTCATGGTGAAGGTGAGTGGCAAGAAACCCGCCAACGTGATTAGTGAATAAGGAAACAACATGGTTAAGTCCACCGAGACTCTCCTCAAATCATTGATTGAGCCAAGAATCAGTGTCCGATGTAAAACTTCGCATCTGATTCTCGAGGAATGACGACGAAAAAGGAGCGGAGGACCTGTGCAGTTCTGGCGGAGACCCCATTTTCTCTATGTATCTCAAGGGATCTGACACGCGCGGGCCTAGGTTGAGTGAGAATTGATCGTCAACGATTGATTGGTTTTTCTGTCTCATACTCAGCCTCTTTCTAATTGACCAGCTTGAAAGTCGTCGTCCAATGAGTACGAGGCAGTGTCGATCCCATGGCGTCAATTGCCAGGGGTAATAGGGCAGATTCCCATCTTACTGCGTCTAGAACGTAGCATCTCATATAAGTCTGACCTGCTATCTGCAAGCCACTAGATCGGCCCTCCGCGGGCACTTGAGTGGTCATCTAAGCTCCTTCAGCCACATGATTTTTTGGCCACAGCAAAGGCAACCAATTATTAATTTGATCAGAGCCGCTGAGACATCCGTCCCGACATGCGGGATCTCGAGTGGAGAGATCCCAGCCCTGACATCTCGAAAGATACCCATGCATCTAACATGGATTCTCACAAACTCAAGAGCTATCGCTCAGAAATAAAGACCGGCTGGTTCGTGTACTGAAAGGGTTCAATCACCCGGGATTTCTTCCAATTTCCACACGTACTACAACAGGAAATCAAAGCTTAAGCTGCAGAAACCATTTATTATTGCTCGGATCTAATCAAGTCGGCCACGCTCTCGTCTTCTCAAGGTATTACCTAACCTTGAATGAAAGCTATGGGCCTCTTCTTGCTACTTTCCATGTAGAAGTCCATGGTGAAAAGGGGAATTGAAATGCAAAGCCATTCCCGTCTGTCGTCCAAGCTCAAAACCATTGCCAAAAATCTCGCCCAAAAAAGCTACCTCCAAATCCCAGAAAGAAGAGGTATGTCTCTTCTCAGATGCATCTGAAGAACGGTAAGTAGCTGGCCAGTGGAGTAGTTGCTCAAGTTTAACTCACTATGCTGTTGCTTCTTGCAGACTTGCATCAAGGGCATCCGCAATCTCATCAGTAAGACTGCCAATTACCCCATGGGGTTGTATACCTGTAACGTCGTCTGCACCAGACGAGGTTCCAATAAATCCAGTATTCTAGGTAAGTGAGTTACTGTCAAGCTCTGTCAATGGTCCGTCTAAAGGTCCTCATCGTGACTCTCCATGACGATATCTTCAATCTCAGAAGAAGACTGAGCCATGTCGCCAGGATCGGAAAGAGTATCGGTCTCAGCGTGTCCCTCCATGTCAGAGTCGATAGTTTCATTCTTGCCAGGGCCAAGGGTCATCTTGGCCATGATCATCTCGTTGACTTCATTCTCGTCTTTGGCATCAATCTCAGGGGTTGCGCAAACCTCGTCGATGATGTCCTTCAAGACGTCATTGCATGCGTCTTCGATCTGGATGTCGGACGGCAACTCGTCTCCAAAGAGCTCAGCATAGCGTCGAAGCATCTTCTTGTTGCTTCTGAGCGCCTTGTTGTAAAGTGCACCGACCATTCTGCAACCCACGGGTTTTCCACCAGTCTAAGGTTCATTGTAAGCAAGTGTTGATTGATATTTCGAGCCTCAATTTGATTGGTAGGATGATCTTACCGGAGGGGAGTAACTGAACGCAGTTTTCTCTTGGGTTCCAGCTCTGGCGACCCTGTCTGCCCAGCGAATCTTGGTCTTCAGCTCGAAGAACTTTCTGAATCTGTCGTACTCGTTCCGGAAGGATGAGCAACAGGGACTCGGGCGCTCAATGCCGCGCTCAACCCACTTGCCGTTGTCCTTCTTATGGAAAAGCTTCGCGCCAAACCAGTACAAGTGCGGCCTAGAGGAGTGAGACCGGAAGAACTTGAGTTTTTAGCACCACATGTCAGCTGGACTCGATTTCAAGTTTGTGATAGCCAGTCAGAAAGGATAAACGCTTGTGACTTACGTAGAGTTCGTACTTCTCGTGCAGAGCTCCATCCTCATTCTCAGACGATCGGAAGAGATCAACCTTGTACTCGAAGGAGGTCAGGTCTTTGGCGACACTGTACATTTCTGGATTGATACGTCAACGGTGTTCAAGCAATAGTATTGATGAATCTTCACTGACCAGGACGAATCCACCTGTAAGCAGACGCTGCAGCCCGGGCCCTTTCGATCTCTGCTTTGGCATCCTTCTTCTCTTTGATCTTCATGGCATCGTATTTGTATTCCCTCATTGCGAGTTTCATGTTGTCGCCGCAAGATTTGGTGAACCAACTCCAGCTCACAATGTGAATTTTCTTCGCGCCCTTCGTCTTGCTTCTTCTCTCTGCTTCTTTGACTGAGAGATAACAAAGACAATTAGCTTCTGGGCAAGGAACAAAAGGAAAGGCATGAAGCATGAGGGGGAAAATGTTATTTGAAGAGAAAGGTGACCTTACTTCGGTGGGGCTTGTTCTTGGACTTGAACTCCTCATCGGTGAATAGCAGATGGGTCGTCTTCTCGTCCAAATGACGTGAGAATTTGCCTTTGCGCATCTTAACCCACTGGACCATCTGCTCTCTGGAGCAACCACTAGGGAAGTCTCCAGCAGCGGTAATGACCATCTTATTGAAGATTGCTCGAACCATTGTGAAGGATGAACTTTGGTCGATGGTTGCAAGTGAAGCTTGATAAGAATAATTCTCACTTGGTGACAACGGGATAAGAGAAGCAAAGTCTGTGATGCTGCTGATGAAGATGAGGCAAGAGCGACTTGAGACTTCAAGCGAGGTAAGAAGGGTGAAGAGCTGGAGTAAGACTGGATGGGAAAAAGGTAAAAGGGCGTTCTCAGTTGGTAAGAGCAAGAAGGGTCTCCAATGCTGATGATGAAAGTGTGAAGAGGTCAGTCTGAGACTGTGAGTGAGGTAGAAAGGGTGTAGAAAGGGTGAAGGGGTGGAAGAGAGAATTGGTGGGAAAAGGGTGGCTGTTTTATACGGAGAGATTCGAGGAAGTAAAGGAATGAACCTGGGCAGTAGGGAAGGAAGGAGGGAGGATACAAATGGAGAAGCACTCGAAAGACTGGGAGGAAGGCGCGAGAGATGCGAAGTCTCACCATGCCTTCCGAATTATTTCAAGAAATCAATTTAATATGGCATCCAAAATACAAATCTGGAAATGCGACAAACATCGATCTCATGAGAACCTATGGCATCTTGAGTATCGTCGATATCTGCCCTTTTATCTAGCTGAAGGCAGGATTATTGATCCAACAGAAGCGGATAGCGCAAACTGACAATCTAATAATCACAATTTGAACTTACTCACATATCTTAGAGCAGTCTTGGGTCATGCGAGGATGTGGAATCATGGACAGGACTATTCGCGAACATCAAGGTCTGGGCTTTGTGGCAGAGCTGAAGTCCAGATATTCAAATATCACAGTCTTCGATTGGATCGCTTGACAGAGTCTTAGGCACTTTCTCATTTCACGAACTCTCTATCTAAAGCTCTTCGCATTCTTGACAAACGTTCTAATCTTCTCCAAGCTCTGCTTGCCATCCTCCTCCACTCCGCTGCTCACATCAACACCTACGATACGGTCACCAAACTCCCCAACAGCCTTGACTGCCTCGAGCACGTTGTCGGGGTTGAGACCGCCAGCAAGAATGACTTGCAGCTCCTGATCCTTTGCCAAGATATCCTTGACACTGGAGACGTCAAGGAGCTTGCCTGAGCCAGCTCCCGAATCGAGCAGAGGAATGGTGTGGTAGCCTCGCTTCCCGATGCCAACGTTGCTCGGCTTGAAAGCCCGAATAACAGGTACGGGGATCAGGTTGGCCCACTCAACCGGCTCATTGCCGTGAAGCTGGACAATGTCCAGGTTGAAACGCTTCTGCTTCTCGAGAATCTCGTCTAGTGGCTGGTTCTGGAAGATACCTGCGAGGAGCGGACGCGAGCTCGATAGTCTGGCGACAGACGCAGTGTAGTAATCTGTAGCAGATTTTGTAGGGATGCTCGTTGTTGTACGTGTGGCGGTAGGTACGAAGGTGTGTACCGCTTCTGAGATGGCGGAAGCAGTCTCATCAGATATGCAACGCTTCGCACCTGGAACTAAGCAAATTCCGACAAAGTCCGCACCTGCCTTGACAGCCTCAAGGGCAGCCTCGGGAGTTCTTGTTCCGCAAATCTTGACAAAAAGGGGTTGGGTCTTGACCGGTTCAGGCTCAGCGTCTGTACCAGAACAGAGTTCTCTGATGAACTTGGTTGTGTCCGGCGCTCTGACAATGGCCTCCCCCACGAGAACAGCATTGACTCCATCGTTCTTGCAAAGAATGACATCCTGGTGACTGTTGATACCACTCAGGGCGCAGATGATGGTATTTTCTGGGACCATGCTTCTCAATCTACTTGTTGTGTTCATGTCGACCTCGAAGCTCTCCAAGTTGCGGTTGTTGACGCCAATTGCCTTGGATCCAAGTTTCAAGGCTGTCGTCATCTCCTCGGCTGTCTGGACCTCAACCAGCGGCTCCATTCCCAGGGAAAGAGAATACTTGTACAGCCTCTCCAGCAGTTCCGTCTCCAGCATCTTGACAATAAGCAAGACCGTATCGGCGCCCGCAAGTCTGGCCTCAAGAATCTGGTATTCCTCAAAGATGAACTCTTTGCGGAGGATCGCTGGTCTGTTGGGCATACCGTCCAGAACTTGTCTAACAGCCCTCAGATCCTCGATGCTGCCCTTGAACCACTCAGGCTCAGTCAGCACGGATATGACGCTGGCACCTGCAAGGGCATATTTCTTCGCCTGAGTCGGGGCATTGATATTGATATCGAAAATGCCCTTTGAGGGCGAGGCTCGCTTGATCTCCGCCATGAGGGACACATCGAAGGGGGTCTGGCGAAGGCGTTCAATGAAGGAGACTTGAGGCGGAGCGGCATTGAGATCATACGC